GTTTTTATTGTTGGATATTTTTTTTTACCTTTGAATAAATATTTATTATTGTAGTGGTATCAAATAAAATTCGTCAATATTTAGTTTTAATCCATTTGCAGGTGTTTTTTTTTCAATTTTTTTAACAAACTTATCGAAACGTACGTGTAAATAATTGACGGCGTGAAAAAATTCTTCCAATTTATCAAACACCGTTGGAGATATTGGGAAATAAGGTGGAAAACAGATTGTGCTTCCTCAACCGTTTCCTTCGGCCCGCAAATGATATGGGGTCATAAATCATGTCGAATTTTTTCGGATGGTACCGCCTGTCTAAATTTATGTTTTCAATAATCGTATTATGCTTGAGTTGTTAGGATATGGACATTTAAAATATATACATCGAATATTATTTATAAATTGAATCTATTCGGGTTATGGGTTAGGTATAAGTAATAGTGGAATATTAAATTTCGTTTATGTATTGACTGTTATGTCTAGGGCTTAGTGTAATAGCATATTATTATCTATCTATGATTTAAGATGTTCGTTAAAGGGTTCTGAGAATATCACAATACACTCCTTTAATCAAAAATATGTTTCTATAAAACATTTTTTGAATACTTTTGTGTAGTTAAAAATTAAAGAATTCCAAATTGTCTTTATTATTTTTATTACAACCAATAAACAAGGCAACTTTCAAGAAAGTTATAAGAAATAATGATAAAAGTTTGCCTTCTGTGAATAATAAAATAAGACTGAGATAAGGCAACAAACTAAGTAAGTAATAATTAATTGCAATATACATTGTATGATATTATGCAATTTTGCCATGTAAAACAAAATTATAATATTATCTATGTTGTCACATAGACAGTATCAGTTAAGTTTAGGGAGCTAAAAATTAATATATATGACAACTATGGGATTTTAATTTACCAACATTTTTTGTACCTAGTAAGTAATATACCAGACAATTCATTTATAAAATGTCACATATAGACTCAGGAGAGACTTAAGTAAGTTATAGGGTGTTCATAGTGCATACACAAATATTTATCTCTCTTTGTTGATCTCCAGAGATTTCCAAGGAAATTCGTGTGCAACGTATAAGTGTTATCAAGGCTTTTCTATTTACATTAACGGCGAGCGGCTATCCATGTCCGTTAGACGATAATAAATGGTGTCCAGTATAGGTTATGGCTACATGATTTTTCTTTTGACAACTTTATCTAACGTTTGGAAAGGGCACTGAATGCTGTCCACTGTTAATGAAAAAAAGAAACATATGGTGTTTGGACGATTCATACACTTCAGTATAACACTTGGATAGTATACACTTAAAACTTATTAGTGTTTAAAGGTTTTTAAAGTTTGACGCAGACTTGACTTTATTTTTTATTTGACTATAGACTAAGTCTTTGAAATGATGATTAATGACTCATCCATTAATCCATACGAGAATAGTAAACAAAGTTTTTGTTCGATTATGTGATATACCAATATGAAACAATATTCATTGTGCACTTATAAAGTAAAGTATAGGCGGTATACTTTTCGGAAAGTTTTGTCGCAAAAACAAATAATAATATCAACGAAATGTTTATTGGTGTTATTGACATTGTGTAGCTCTAGAAAAATAAACGTTTTATTTCAGTGTAAACTTTATTTAGTTTGTTTGAACAACATTTGTATATATTATCATTTTGACAAAAAATGTTTACATAAATCAGTTCTAATATAACTATTGGCGTTTTATGACTTTTGAATAAAAAACTGTATAACATTTATATTTTTTTATTAGTTTTGTATTTTATACTCGTAAACACGGCAAAAACTAAATGGTCCAAACAACTTGGTCAGTATTGAGTTTTAAATCATAAATTTGTCGGTACTGAAAGTTGAAGTATACCTAAAGAATAATTTAAAATAGTTTTTTCGATAAACTGCCAAAGGATTTTCATGCCTAGTATTCATTTATTTTAATAATTGAAAAGAAGGGAATTTCGTTATCGAGTTGCCACCGGGTTTTTTTTTTAACTTGAAATAAATTAACTGGCCGTGATCACGTGTCACTTTCGCAATCAACAGTCAAGTCCAGTTGGGGTTGGCAGTGAATGGGGTAAAGCGGTAAAAGTGTGTAAAAATTATGGCGATTGGAAAATTCGGGGGAAAAAAAATCACATAACAATTTACCGGCTGTTCGGGCGGAGAATGATGTAGATGCGATCGTTAAAGTAATAATATATGCTTCGGTGTGAGATAAGGGTAAAAAATTGTGGAAGTAAGGGCCAGAGGGTGTTAGGGACTGTTTAACACCAAAGTGCGTTTAGGCAAACAAGACAGACTAGACAGATACACACATCCATTCCCCGTCGTGTACAGGGCTTCCGGATTTATGGCCACTATAAGTCGAGTTCGTTGAACCACTGCAGGAACTCTCCTGTCCCTCCCCATTATTTGCAACGAGGGGCATTCACATCAATACAACGGCGGCTGGAAAGTTTGATCCCGACTGCTGGGCGACTGGTATCTGCGAATAATACAAAAGTAATTTTTACCCCTCGTTTGCGATTGAGCGCTTGTGCGACCTACTTTTGGGGTCAGTCCGTTTTGCCTAAACGAAAAGTGAAATCGAATAAGTTCGTTTTACCGAGTGCGTAAATACTCTGAAAAGTCAAACCACTCAAACCACTGCAGTAGTAAATTTAGAATATTAGGTACATGTTATGCCAATAACAATTACATAATATTTAAACGCTTTGCGCGAATTCAAGTATGAATATTAAATTCTCGTAAACGTGTGAAGAATACTATTATTAGCCTAATAGAGATACATCATGATCTTTCATTAAATGTATACTACGTTTATTATGAATTAAATAAGTTTTATCAAAAATAGTTTTTTTCTATTAGTACATTATACTAATTATAATGTTACATTATACTATACATATACTTGTCCGCCATCTATCGATTATTTCATTCTTCATTTAATATATTACTGTTTATGCAAGCTATATTATATATTTATACATTTTTGTAAATATTTGATTATAATTAGTATATTTGAAGAAATCAGTTAATTACAAATTTTATTATATATGTTAATTATAATTATTAATAGCCAAATAATCACATACGAAAATTAAATATGCACATAAAATAATCTTTAAAGAGTTTGAACATTCAGAACACTTTTATTCTTTTGAATATTGTTAAAAAATATTATGAAAACATTTTTTTATCCCTATGGGATGTTGTTTGGACTATCCGTCAGCTAGTATTCAAAACACTTATGGTATTCGTCGTGTCATTGGAACTGAGTTCAGATGCGTTATTCAATTTCACCACTGACTTTCATTAGACACGCGAGTGTTGTACGTGAATTGAGTGATGACGGTAGTCAGATAAGTGTTTAAATGTATTAAAATGAATATTTAAACTATTTACAGCTTAGGATAAATTATCAAGTCAACGTGTATATATATATATATATATATATATATATATATATAGGGGATTTAACTTTTTCCATAATTAGTTATTACAGTAAAAAGAGGTGTTGTTCAGCAGGCACACACGGGAAAAGTCGTTATATATGTATATAAAGGTAACGTACCGGCTTTGCCAGCGGAATATCAATTATTTTTTCGTTGATGACGTCAGAGTCACCCGTAATGTGCTTTATATGTGTACTCCGACGCTGGACACTGGGTGTTACAGTTTCGAAATTCTCTTCTCCCTTCGCCGTTCGACCCACTTCCACACTCTGTCATTCGCCTGCTTGCAGTTCACAGAGTATTCCGCATCTTCTTTTTAGAACCGTGTGCCAGCGTGGGCGACGTCGAAAATTTTGAATCCAAATTTAATTGCTTTTGGGAATTCTCATTTTAATGGAGTGCCGTGTGCTCTATAGGACCGAGACGGCCGTCGTCTAGGTCGCGTGTAGGTAGATGACGTTTAACAGCTACGGGAAGACGTACCCGCGTGGCATCGCTGAAATTATGTATTCGACCTAACATAAGTTTTTTTTCTTTTTCAAAAGGCAAACACGGAGCCTACGACGAACCCAAGCGAGTACACAAAACCCGTACAACGTAAAGTTTGCACAAAAAGTTACCGTTATCCGGCTTTATTCGATAAAATTAAAAAGAATGTGTACTCAGCCAAAAGGTAGTATAGAAATCAATTGCGTGGGAGTCGTAGTGAATCTTTAAAATTGCACGTACATCTTATGGTTTACGATGAAATACGAATATGCTTGAAACGATAGCTCGTTCGTTTAGTTTGTAATAAAATACTTTCAGTGGTTCCGTTTAAGTATCGAGTACTAAAGAAATAATAACGATTATGCTAATTGACAACGGTCTCCGTTATCCGTGTCGGTTAAGTACAATAATTACGAAAACAGACAAGGAACGACCGCGGCGACCGTTTTTACTACCAGGAGTAATCGAGGGGGTTTAATTTTGAAAGCCTGTAATATAAAAATGTCGACCGTTGCGCCTACGAACAAAGTTAAAACTCAATCGCTTGTCTTGAAGTAGCACCGTAAACGTCGATGAAACTAAATCCTACTCGTGTTTAGTTTAAAACCTCTCACCGTTACTCAACTGTACGACAGTTACCGGATCGACTTACCTCGCCCTCCCCCATTTTAGTTTGTAAGTAGTATATTTTATTGGCAAAATGACTGTATACGGCCACAACTTTCTTGTACCAGCTACATTACAGTGATCTAGTTTATTGACATGTTAAATTCGTTAAAAAAACAATTCACCGAATACTCGAATGCAGTGTCTGTTAGATTTTTTTTTTAACAAATACTAAAAGTTGATATATGTTCTTTATTTAGATGGCATTTCTAAGTGGTATTATTTAAAACATTATTTGATTGAGCGCTCAAAACCTATGTACTCTGTACTCTGGTATGACCTATGACGATGCAGCTTCAAATACATTTTTATGCGAATGTGAAACTTGTTTGTGCTTATCGTTGAATAACATTTTGTTCGCAGGTGATATCTCAAAATGGGAAAACCTATTTGAACAATGACGTTGATAACTTTATCCGTTGTGGAGGAATGGCTAGATAGCCATCCCGATCACTGTCAAGACTACTTCCTACGCAAAGTCGAACTCGACCTCATCAACAAATGGCTTGTATCCCACGGGTTCCTTAACATTAACGACTACATAAGTTCTGCCACGTCTACCTCATCGTCGGGCAACGTAAGTCCAGCCAATGGGTGTGATGCCATCACTAATCCGAATGCCCCAAGCATAATGGTTAACGGCAATAACTCCTTGTCCGTCACACAAATACATCGGACCAACTCGAAACGGTGTCGACGACACGACTTTGCTAAGGCTAAGACTAGGAGCGTACTACGCACACAGGAAATCGGCAAGGACGTGCCAATTTCTACCAGTAGAAGATCATCGTTGAAGGACATGAGAAAGTAAGTGAATGTTGAACAGTTTTAGCAAGTTTTTATCTATGGCTTCCAAATTTCTCCACTTTGTGCAGAAAGCCATTCAAATAGCTTATACGTATACTTACTTGTTATAAACATTTAAACCACTAAAAAAAAAAATCACTTCTTACGCCTTCGCATTATACCATAGTTATTAATGAGAAAATGAACATAATATAGTCCTTAACTCAATTGCTCGCTATAAATTCAAAACATAATGTTAAACTACTTTGTAATAATACCTGAAAAATGAGTTTTTCTTATATAATTCCATGAGTTAAATAATCTAAACAAATTGTTTATCATTTTGATACCGGGACTCTGCAAACATCATTTACTAATTATATTAATTATATTGTCGTATACCTATATTCTATAATATATATATATATTTGGAAAACAACTTAATTTAAATAAAAAGTTAATTATGAATAAATGTTAAGTAAGTAAAAAAATTTTAAATACCTGTCTGAGTAACACGAACCACATTTTGTTGACACATTTAAACTCATAACGGTAACTAATCTTCATATTTGGAAATTGTACGATCTAAATCTTCTAAGCTTAGAATTGATAATTAATTTATAAAATTTGAATGACATTGTATATTGAATATTTACCATTTTTTTTAAATAACAATAATTTTTAAAATATTTTAAACGTTAATTTTTTTTACTTCTAATGATGGCGAAATAGGTGATTTAATAAATTGCTGGCATTGCGTTTTACCAACATCGAGCCTTATAGTCACCTAGGGTGAATAGAAGGGTGAATAGTTGATAAATAGAAGGTACACATTTGGGTGTCACTACTACCGATTTAGAATAAATGGTCTGAAAACTTGATTTGTAGTCTATGTAATGTCATGTTAATGCAATAGGTACTTTAAACCCCGTAAAAAAATTTAAATATTTCCAATAGTCTGGTGGACGTTATATATGTATATTTAAGGACCTACCTATATAGTACTATAGTTCGAATACATTGGTCACGGTTTTATGGTCAATATGATCATTATGCGATGAAAGCAGTTATTAAGTAGGTAATCAGCATAATATACGATGATAATTTATTTGATAGTTTTTGGAGCATATAATGTTTTAATGGAGATACTTATTGTATAATTCTAATAGTTGGCCTAACTGGATATTGATTTGTTCATAACTACAATCATAAGTATTCCAGTAGTGTTTTTAATTAACTTGTAATTTGGACGCATGTTAGGGTATAACTGGTTATGCGTAAACATTTATTGAAATATACTAACGCTAAAAACACAATGCTCGGTGAAAATCTGGAACACCAATATTTGTTTTGAACCACCGTACATACGCTGCTGTGAGGGAGTAGCTATAATTATTAGATTAGTTGTTTATATTTAAATAAACCACTAGTATTAGGATCGCCTAATGCTTTAGTATATCGTTAGTAACCATAGCGACAGCAATGTGAGTAACAAACTCTTAATCCCATGAAATCCTTAAGCTAAACATTTTCCCTCCAGCTTTTGATGTGTATTCATATTAAGTTGTAAGCTATAAGCACATAAACTATAGAGACTAGTTCAGTTAAAAAATTGAAAATTAAAAAATATTCCTTATTATACGCCGTGTAGTTATAATAAAGTGGAAAAATGCTAACAGGCCAAGTTGTTATGTGTTCTATAATATAAAGAATCTGCCAAGCTTAATATTGTACGTTTGTAATTTTAATTTGTACGTGCTATCCAATAATAGATTTATATCTTAATTAATTATTCTAAAATCTGAATTAGGCGTTATAACTTATAGTTCATTGTTAACCGTCAGAGAAATTATCCAAGAAATATTTACTATAGTAACTAATTTTTCTGGGCACATAATTGTGTGAAAACGGAATATCGGCGTAAATTGCTAACGAAAAGAACAAATACCATTTTGATATTAAAATACATGTATATTGTATACTGTTAAAATTGATGTAATGTTTTTTTGCTAGTAGACCAGTCATAATACTTTATATACCGACAAATCGTTAACACAGTTTTCTACGAATACATATAGGTATAATGTTTTTTATGGTTCATGCGATTCCTGTAATTTATTGACCCAATAAGACTCATTTGGAGTACCATTTACCACAATATCTGTAATTTGACATGTTTATTGCACTCTGTTGTGTGTGGTAAACAAAATATTCTCGTGAGAACTGAAATAATATGATTGATAAAAAAATATAACCCAGTTTCGTTTGACCTACATACAAACATGTTTCAGAATATTATAATAGATTTTCCCTTTACACATATTGTTGATGTTATGAGTTTTACAATGAACACATTTTAATTTAAAAAGTAACATATGATTGACAAGGATAGACTGGGAAAATTTAAAATTTCGTTCACAAATGTAGACAGCATTTACGTACCAGCCTCCTCGTCCAGTCTGTTCCTGATTGATTAATTATACACAAGAAGTTTGCTTTTTTTGCAATTTAATCTATATTTCAGAGAAATTTTAACAAATTAATTATTAAAAAAGTATAATTTATTTATGGGTATTATTTTTTTTCGTTTTATGGAGATTAAAAATATCTTCAGTAAAACTAATTTAAAGGATGTGTACTATTAAGGAATGAGATTATCAAAAACGATAGATGCGACAATTTTTAAGTGTTGAAAAAATGTAAGACTAATGAAAATATTCACGTCTAAATAAATGTTATATTGTACAATATATTATCATTATAAAAAGTATTTTTCAAAACATTTTTTAAAAACTAATTTTGTATTAAAACCTGTCCTGGAAAAAAATAAGACAATATTTATATAATAAAAAAAAATTGAACTAAATTGATTTTTTCTTTTTGATTTAACTTTTTAACAATTTTTTTAGTAAATATTTTTAATTTGAAATCAATCTGAAACGAAATTATAAATAAATATTATATGATTTTTTAAATAGCTAGAAAACGTTGTTTTTTCCCGTAAAAATTCGACTTTTTGTGGCCATTAGTACTGTAATATGAAGTATGGCGTCTGTGTGTGGATTATTTTACATACCTGACTGTATAGGCATAGATGTTTAGTCTGTCGACCAGTTTTGAGTAAATTTCGTCGCTGTTATTTATGCATTTTCAATAGAGAAATATTTTAATCGCGTATAGTTATACAACAGCAGAGCTCAAGTTAATCAGTCTTCAAAATAAATTAAATTTATTTTACTTGCCACCAGACCACAATAATATGGCATTGGCTGGGCTATCGCTACCAAAGCGTTTTTTCTCAGAATTTTTCAGATTAGATTAAAAAAAAAATGGATAATAAAAATAAACGTTAGCGCTATTGTCGTGCGTTTTTTTTTTGGGTCTCAGACGAGACGTCACGTGGATGGCATGAACGAGTAAAAAAACCCAAAAAAGAAAATGGGACGAAAAAAATAATATCGGTAATTTTGTCGGCGTTTGTTCAGTCTGTGCCGCCGTTCATAGTCGATATACATAATGTATAAAGTCAATCATCTAGTGCGGCGACCGACCTTTAGATTTGCACAGTGTCCGATTACAGCGAAATCCGTTTTATACAGCGGCCACGTTAAAAATAATAACAGTGATATAGTTGCAAAACAACTGACAAAAAAAAACCCGGGCGGGGGCGTACTTTGGAACGTGAACATGATACTAAAATTATTATTATTCGCCCCGTTTGCCTAAAGGTATCTCGCACACGTGTAAGTATTACGTGGCAGACGGGTTTTTCGATTAATTCGTTTAATCGACCGACGCGGCACGACAATTACATTATCAACGTGTGACGCATATGTAGGTATACCCGTCCAAGTGTGTAGGTACTCTGGCACACACGTCACACGCAAACCTTACACTATAGAGTGGTGCACGTATGATAATAGTTCTTGAATCGGCCCGCAAATGCTTTGAGCAAGTGCACTGTTAATTTGTATTTTTCATAGGGGTTTTCAATGCCATTTTTGCATTCAGTAGGAGTTCACCGTCACAAACGGTGTTTGCTTGACGGGCATAATAGACACGAATTTCGGTTTGTAAAATAAACGACGATCCTGGTGTATATTTTATATTATTATTATTATTATTGTATTGTATTACCAGCCAACGCAACGATCGGACACACGGGCATACAATAACGGCTCGGTAATAGGTAATATATCTGTTTTTTGCACCCACGCGTCAAATTTATAATAATACAACAATCACATGGTATATTTTGCGCTGTCGTGTGAATTACGACCAGCGATTGATAATAATATTCAACAGCTGCGGCTCTTGGTCGGGCAATGACGCACTAAGAGATTTTCCCACAAGTAAAGCATTTATCTTGAAATTAGATAAACTGTCAACCATATTTTATCATTTTTAAAAGCTCTATTCGTAGCATAAAACATAATTTTTTAGCAACTAGTAATCGTTGACACCTAACTATAGTTGATTTATCATTAATTTGACATAGGCCCAAATTGGTATACAATCATTAATTTCCGATAGTTTTTACTTTTAAAAGTATCTCATAATCAATTTTTTACAACTTAATAAGCAATTTTAAAAAATAAACTTGACAATCAAATGCACGCCTAAAACATTGTAAGATATCCTTTAGCGTCCGTAAAAAGGTTCACCCATCATTAATACATGTATTAACTTCTAGTGCTTCTTTCTTCATTTGTTGTGATTCTTATAGAAACAGATTTAGGCAATTCTCAACTCTTGTCATTTGCTTAACATATAAAAATAATTTCATTTGAGCGTTATTGTTCGTCTGCTGTAGAGTATGTGTTACATTGTATAAGTAACATTAAGAAAATATCTAAAAAATAACATCATATTGTACCCTTGAAAGCGCTAAAATGTTCTTAGTTCCTGATGAAAAAATTAAATATCGCGATTAAGACTTATTACTTAGAGTGACTTATTGTTCAATAATAAACAGCCATAATGGGCAAATTTTGAAGATTTAGCTAAATCAAATTAAAGGT